GAAATACTCAGTGCGTAACAGAAGACCTTTTTTGGTGTGTCTGGCACAATAACAACATTGTATAAATAAGAAGCCCACTGCAGCTTTTGTGTTAAAAAATGTAACACTGTAGAAGAATGTGTGTTCTAGGGTGGTTGCCAGCAGTTTTGTACAATTTACAGGGTCATCTTGTTGTCGGGGCCTGTTTTAAATGGATATGATGTCACTGTTGGTGGACTTTACGGCACTGAATCATTTTTGTCTGGAAATGTACAGATTTTATCATAGGCCATTTTTTTTTTTTTAACACAAAGCCCATAGAAATATTTGTAACACACAGGACAAGAAAAGTGTTACTGTCTAAAATGTCAATACAAAGTCATTAACATGAACAAAAACATCGAAGGGGAAGCAAAAGTGATGTGAACAACAAGATTTAACAAGAGATTATTTTCAAAATAATGTCCACCAAAACACAAGGGATGCATTGTGAAGCTTACATTTGTACTCAAGGAAGGAGATTGTTAGGTGAGGAGAAGCTAGAGGAGACTCTGCAATAAAGTTATATTGTACTATACCTTTAGAGAACTACCATTTTACTACAATTATTATGTTCAGCCCAGGACAAATGATGGCTCTTATTTTCTACGATCAGCAGACTGATCAATTTTTCTGTTTATGCTGACTCAAAAACATTTTGACTAATGTTCACAACAGAAACATACCAAATATAAAAGTGAAATTTCTCAATTGCTGGTTTGCAGAAGGAACTTTACTGAGGCATTCCAATTTTTTTTTTTATTCATATTTAAGACAATACAGATAGCATAATTATGGTTAAAATACTCTATGAAGACATAGATCTTCAATAATTTATCACACAGCCCTAATGCAGTCTTAAAGTGGAACTTTACCCATAACAACTTGATAAAAAGTAATGTTCTTTAGCAAGGACCATACATTCCACATTAATAATTATGCTACTGAAATTAGTGTGTGCTGTAAATTGCCTCCAATATCTGCATGTTTCTTCTTGCTAGAGGCTAGAGCCCTGAGTCCTGAGCAGCAGTAAATCTTTAGGTTGTCAGCAGATCGGCCTCTACAAATTTGGCACAGTTCTGAAAAACAGAGAGCAACTGATCATGTGCAGAGCAGGGTGAGACAGTGTATTACTGGAATTTAAACAGTATAGGTGTCAGGGATCCCGGGTCCTCGGCGGTGCGCGCATGCGCAGACGGCCGATCTGTCCCGGCCGACGATCGCGGCGGCGGCCGCGCATGCGCAGTAGCGATCGCGGCCGCACCAATGGGAGAGCAGGGCGCTCTATTTAAAGCTGCCCTGTGCATCTCCAGGTTGCCGCAAGGTCTTGTTCCTGATTCTGTAAGTACGCTTCCTAGTTGCCAAACTCTGCCTGTTCTGACTTATGCTGACCCTCTCCTGCTCTGACCCCGGCTCGTCCCTGACCATCCTCCTGCCTGACCCCCTGTACCGCGCTGCCCGCTACCTGCTGATCCTGGCTTGTGACCCCGACCATTCTCCGCTTACTCCCCCTGTACCACGCTGCCCGCACGATACCGACCCGGCTAGTCTGACCTTGCTCGCTCCTAGCTGTCACCCATCCATCCCGCTCGGATCAGAATCTGCCACCCCATCCATCCGCTCGGATCGGACCTGTCGTCCCCTTCGCAGCAGGCTCATCCCGGGCACATACCCCCAGCGGGACCCCTCTACCACCGCCGGGGGTGCCCAGGGGCGCGACCTGGTCTCAGTCTTGCACCAAGTCCATCCCCACCATCAGGGGCCCTGGTGAAGAGGCAGACTGGGACTTAGACTCCGCGTCCTGGGAAACCCCGTGCTGTGGACCACTAGAGATCCCGTTGGGCGGAGCCTGACAATAGGCATTTATTTTGTAATGTTTTACATAGCTATACCTGCAAAAGGGGCCAGCCTGAAGTCATCTAGCAGGACTTAATTTTCTGACTAAAGTTTTACTTTACGTCAACTGTGAAACTAGAAAAATGGAAGCTGCCGTTGTTGACTTGTTTTTAAGGTGCAGGTTCTAAGGGCTGCCATCCTTATCCTGGGGCTGTTATCTCAATCCTGGCTTTACTGTCTACAGAGCCTAGTGAGTCACTGATATGGACCAGACTTAATTGGTAGTATGCTTGTTCTAGGTCTATAGCATGGAGCATATACCTGTAAACTGTACAGTCATTGTAACTGCTCATGCTTTTTGACTGCCATTAACAAAATGGGTTCTTCTGTCACTTGTGTATCATACTTAGAGCAAAACAGATGGTAATACATGGAACAAGAATTGTGATGCTTTTTATTTTGCAAGACAACGCGTTAGAAAAAAAGGGTATGTGTGTTTTTAAGCACATTAGGGTACATTGTCATCCCATTTATTTTGAATTGGCTGCCTTAATGCAACACATCTTAGCATGCAACAGAACACAAGTTAATGCACCACAAAGAAGCAAATGGACCCTCAGAGGCATGATCACATGATTAGCTAGAAGAGGTAAAAAAAAAAAATGTATATTTATTTTTTTTAAAATGTGGTGGGGGGATGAGGGACAGTTGGCTTGAGCGGTTGGATTCTGGAGTTGAACTTTAAGATCCAGCTAACCAGTAATTTTGATATCTATTTGCACTTTAAAGAAATCAAATGAATTGGTTGATAATGTAGATAAAAGTAGTGAAAATAACTTACAAATGTCACAAAAGTACAAATAGATATTTAGGAATTTCTTAATTTATGGTCATTTAAGTAATTCATGCCCTTTCACAGCACTAATTTTACATCCATACTGGACACAGAAAAGTGGCAAAATTGTTGCAGACGTAGAAGAGTTATTTTGGAATTCAAGTTTATGTCATAAAAACTATATCTCTAGTCATACCATCTCTTGTTGTCCATTTTAGCTATAACCATTTTTATTTATAGTGCTCATCACAAAACTGAATCTATTGGATTGTTCAACTTAAAGTGGTAACATATATAGTGAACCTGTTTCAATGTAGCCAAAAGGAAACCTTTTGGAAGTGAATTCTTCCAAAGCCAGGTTGGTGGCAACAGCATGATGAAAAATTGGTTTGTACGCACTAGGTCACAAAAGGCATTCTTAGCAGCTTTACTAATAAAGCTTGTTTATTTTCTGACCTCTCGTTGGGCACCTTCATAAATATTTTCTTATACACTGTCTCCTTATATACAGAATCTAATTTGTGTGTTCAAAGCAAATACAAACATTAACCATTGCTATTCACTGAAGACTATGATATTCCCTGGATAAATACATTTTTAAACACATGTAGCACTACCCCCTTAGGAGTTGCTGAGGTTTTGGGTACCGCTATTGTCTTACACAGCTAGGAAACACACACTTTCCACAGGCTTGCATTCCAGAGACAGTAAACAGTCCTTTAGCTTGGGTTTTTTAGTTTTATTAGTGGTATTGAAATTGGATGGGGTAAGGGGTGTATGGAATGCCCAATGAACAGCAAACAGAGGACAAACTCCTTAGAAACTATGTGCAAGTCCATTGAAGGGTTTCTCTTATTAGAGAGCTTCCCAGCCTCTCCTGGTGTACCACCCTACACCCCAGATAGTTCTCTATCCAGCTGGAGCAATCCCTGAGCAAGGGGATCCAGTCCCTGCCACTTTAATATGAAACAGTCCCGGGTAAGGAGCTAATGATGAGATAGGATCACTCACTAAGCAGTTTGTTGGTTTCTGGTAATAGCTTCAATCCTTCTCATGGCTGAGCAACTACAATAACTGAACTACTGGATCCTCTAGCTGTCTCTCTTTCTAGTTATACTCTTCCAGAATATGGATGAGTTTCACCTGAGGTCTGATTTTAGGACTTTCTCCAATTAAGTCAAAGATTTCTATCAGTTTAGCTTCTTCATTCACTCTTTGAGGCCTAGCTAGTGGGTACCATGACAGGGCTACCTTGTTGCTCTTTCCAGAATGATAATGCAAGAAGAGATCAAACATTGCCAGAAAAGTGTCACTTCCCCAAGCTCACATGGAGATGCCCCATCTCTGGAAATCTGGATGTTAACCAATAGGATCACCCCTTTGAAAGATGGGGTGGCCAACACTGCTCCAGAATTCTACGTTTTGCTGTGCGAATAGGCACCAGTGGGATGTTATCTGTCCAGATCCTAAACTTAGCTACTGTCAGGTACTCCCACACCAATGCCATCAGTTCTATCTTGAAGGAGCTGAGGTTTTCAGGGTTTCTCTCATTTGCATGTAGGCTTTGACTTTTATAAGTGATGAATCTCTCAAAAGAGAACAGCCCCTAGGGACTGAGTGCTGGCATTGGTTCTTAGCCAGAATGGAAGGGAGATGTAAGCAGAAGCTAACATGGGAAATTATATTGGCTGCTGCTTGACAAATTCCAAAAACCCCACTGGAATACATATAAACGGAATGAAAAGCAGCCAATGGATGAAGGGTGAAACATGTTAGAGGGGTTCTGATGGGTGAAAAGCCAGCTGAAGCCATTTTGTGATCATTTGTTTTATGATTCACTATATTGGTGTGCAATGCTCAAAAACATTTCTGACCCCACTGGAATTGGCATACTGTGGTATTAGGAGGCGCTCCCCACAGTGGCCAGGTCCTCCAGAGAATTTCTTGCTCAACTGCCTGAATTCCATTTCTGACAGTGAAGGGCTTATTACCTTGCTGCATATTTCTCTCCCAGCTATCTCTACCTCATGAGGTTGTGAGATGGGGAAACAGCTCTCATTGTTTGAACACTGTTTGTGTGGAAGTAAATTAATGTTTTGACTGAGATTCTGCGTTTAGCCACAAGATGTCACTGTTTTTCTAACACAGCCTCAGACTGCATAGATATTTGTATATTCATGAAGAGGTGGGGTTTTGCACACAGAGTTGGGTAGAACAGGGAGGAGAGGGAGAAGCCATGTTTTGGAGCATGGTGAATAAGGGGCCGTGTGAGCTGAGAATCTGATGACATCCAAGTGTGAAAGCGTCCCTCAGTAACCAGAGCTGCAGCTGAGTGAAGCTGATGAGATTGCTGCCAGGAAGCTGATGAGATTGCTGCCAGGAATGCTGATGAGATTGCTGCCAGGAATGCTGATGAGATTGCTGACAGGAAGCTGATGAGATTGCTGCCAGGAATGCTGGTGAGATTGCTGCCAGGAAGGCTGATGAGAGCAGAGGAACTAAGCAACATATACGGCGAGACCACATGCTTGTTGAAGAGACATTTGTTCTGTTCAGAGTCACCAGCGGATGCAAAGCGGACCCGGGTCGGTAAGATTGTGCATGCACCTCATTTCAGTGTTGGCGCCTTGAAACTGAGTCCAGGCCTATAGTTAGTTAGTTAGGGTCTCTGTTTGTGTCAGGCCACAAGTGTTGTTACTGATTATTGGAAGGACTCCACAACTTAAAGGGACATTTTACATTGGAGAGCTGATAAAATCCTACAAACTCAAGCCAGACTGGCGTTTTTCTCAGAAGGAATACTGAGGCACGTGTTACAGGACCAGTTATGGGAGAGGGAATACTGTAGATTTGTGTAAGATTGTAAGCTGTTGTGCTGCACGGCAGGCTAGCCCATACTGTCAGGGATCCCCTCGATCCCCGCCGCGTTGGTCCCGGCGCAGGCGCAGTATGCCACCCGGCGCAGGGACTCGAGCACTGGTTCCGGGCCGGCCGCGGCGTTCGAGTTCGCGCATGCGCAGTAGAAGCCGCGGCCGCCCGCTGGGCACCAATGGCAGCGCAGGGCGGAATATTTAAACGACCCTGAGCTGTCATTCAGTGCCTTCTGGTCTTTCCTGCATTCTGAATCCTGTGAACCTGTACCCTGTAAGTTATTGACCCGGATTGTACCTGACCTTGCTGTTTTCGCCTGTTCTGACCCTTGCTTTGCCTGACCTCTCTCCTGAATGCCCCCTATTGGATTTGACCTGCTGTTGCTGACCTGGCGTGTGACCCGACCATTCTATGCCCGCTGCCTTGTACCTTGCCGCCCTCTCTGTTACCGACCCGGCCCGTCTGACCCTGCTCATCCATCCATCCATCCCGTGCAGTGGGGTCTTCTGACCTCCTCACATCAGACTCTTCCCCGTGGGAGCCCCTTGCGCATACTACTACCACTGACGGACGCACCCGGTAGTCACGACCTGGTCTCAGGGAGCTCCAAGTCCATCCCCACCATCAGGGGCCCTGGTGAACAAGCACCCTGGGACTTAGACTCCGTGCGCTGGGGACGCCTATTCAGTGGAGTGCTAGTAGTACCGCCGGGCGGTCCCTTACACATACCATACATCAATACACTGATTCCTGCTCTTTTAGGGTAATAACAGGTAAGGTGTGGCAGCTTAGTTGTGCCCGCCAGTAGGTAAATTACTACACCTTCTACCTTCATCCATCAGAAGGCGCCGTGCTGTGCAGCACAAGGGTCTCAGCCTTTGGGCTGGTTGTATGTAAATTTATTGTATATTCCAGCATTTGTGGTTGTGTTTATTTGCCACATCTAAGTAAAATTCTGTTGTGGCAAAAGCTGGTGTTGGGGTTGCTTTCCTCGTTCGTGACTTCACTGTATCCTGGGGAGCCCACCCCGGTACACAGCTTACAAGTTGTGGCCTCTCTGAGCTGCTAGGGGAGGAAAACAGAGAAACCTATCTTCATTGGGTGTATCCAAGAACCAGTTAAAAGGGTCTGCATCTGAGTATGGTGAGTACATGGGCATTTTGCTACAAAAGAATGACATTCAATTATAGTGTGTAACTATATTAAATTGAGTGTAAGATTTGCTGATTTTTTTTTGTTGTTGTTGATGTGCAAGACTGTGCCCCAGTATAACCTATAGCAGCCACCTTTTTTTTAAAGGCTAGTGTGTCCTCCAGTACTTTGATGCCTCCAGGACGTATGGTATGATTATATATTTGCAGAACATAAATGGTCCAAGCAACACAGAGACAGAATAACATAACATTTGTCAGATGGCCTCAGAAAGGTAAAGTGTGCAGGAGAGACCAGGACTGATTTGTGCTGGGGGAGCAAATATTTGTCCTGGGACCGGTGAACATGACATTTAGTGCTGGATTTTTTTTTTCATTGGAGGGGAGGGTGTGTGGATTTTTGCTGAAAGAGTAAAGTGGGAGAGAGTGTATTACTTGTGTGTGTATGTGTGTGTGTGGGGGGGAGGGGGATTTTACACTCTCCTGACCCTTACACCCCTGACTCCCCCTTCATTCTGTGCACTACATACTCCTGAACCCTGCATTCTGTGCATAACACTCCTGTCCCTTGCACTCTGTGCATAACACTCCTGTCCCCTGAATTCTGTGCATAACACTCTTGTCCCCTGCATTCTGTGTATAACACTCCTGTCCCCTGCATTCTGTGTATAACACTCCTGTCCCCTGCATTCTGTGTATAACACTCCTGTCCCCCACATTCTGTGCATAACACTCCTGTACTCTGCATGCTGCATTATGTACTCCTGGACCCCACTCTCTGTTTGTCATATACAGGTGAAACTCGAAAAATTAGAATATTGTGCAAAACTTCATTTATTTCAGTAATGCAACTTAAAAGGTGAAACTAATATATGAGATAGACTCATTACATGCAAAGCAAGATAGTTCAAGCCGTGATTTGTCATAATTGTGATGATTATGGCTTACAGCTCATGAAAACCCCAAAACCACAATCTCAGAAAATTAGAATATTATATGCAATCAATAAAACAAGGATTGTACATAGAACAATATCAGACCTCTGAAAAGTATAGGCATGCATATGTACTCAGTAATTGGTTTGGGCCCCTTTTGCAGCAATTACTGCCTCAATGCGGTGTGGCATGGAAGCTATCAGCCTGTGCCACTGCTGAGGTGTTATGGAAGACCAGGATGCTTCAATAGCGGCCTTCAGCTCTTCTGCATTGTTCGGTCTCATGTCTCTCATCTTTCTCTTGGCAATGCCCCATAGATTCTCTATGGGGTTCAGATCAGGCGAGTTTGCTGGCCAATCAAGCACAGTAAACCCACGGTCATTGAACCAGGTTTTGGTGCTTTTGGCAGTGTGGGCAGGTGCCAAGTCCTGCTGCAAAATGAAGTCAGCATCCCCATAAAGCTCGTCTGTGGAAGGAAGCATGAAGTGCTCCAAAATCTCCTGGTAGATGGCTGCGTTGACCCTGGACTTAATGAAGCACAGTGGACCAACACCAGCAGATGACATGGCTCCCCAAAATCAACACAGACTGTGGAAACTTCACACTGGACTTCAAGCATCTTGCAGTGTGTGCCTCTCCATTCTTCCATACTCTGGGTCCTTGGTTTCCAAATGAGATGCAAAAGTTGCTCTCATCAGAAAAGAGAACTTTGGACCACTGAGCAACAGACCAGGTCTGTTTTTCTTTAGCCCAGGTAAGATGCTTCTGACGTTGTTTGTTGTTCAGCAGTGGCTTGACAAGAGGAATACAACATTTGAAGCCCATGTCCAGGATCCGTCTGTGTGTGGTGGCTCTTGATGCACTGACTCCAGCCTCAGTCCACTCCTTGTCAAAGTCCCCAACACTTTTGAATGGCCTTTTCCTGACAATCCTCTTCAGGCTGCGGTCATCCCTATTGTTTGTGCACCTTTTTCTTCCACACTTTTCCCTTCCACATATTTTTCTATTAATGTCCTTTGATACAGCACTTTGGGAACATCCAACTTCTTTTGCAATTACCTTTTGAGGCTTTCCCTCCTTATGGAGGGTGTCAATGATGGTTTTCTGCACAACTGACAAGTCAGCAGTCTTACCCATGATTATGATTTCTACTGAACCAGACTGAGAGACCATTTAAAGGCTCAGGAACGCTTTGCAGGTCTTATGGCTTAATTAGCTGATTAGAGTGGGACACTTTGAGCCTAGAATATTGCACCTTTTCACAATATTCTAATTTTCTGTGATTGTGGATTTGGGGTTTTCATGAGCTGTAAGCCATAATCATCACAATTATGACAAATCACGGCTTGAACTATCTTGCTTTGCATGTAATGAGTCTATCTCATATATTAGTTTCACCTTTTAAGTTGCATTACTGAAATAAATGAACTTTTGCACATTATTCTAATTTTTTCGAGTTTCACCTGTACACGTAGACCTGTCACTGACTACAGCATTCTATGCATTACATGTCACTGATCCTTGAACACATAACTTAACACACCCTCAACACCTGCACTCTACATTATGGATCCTAAACCCAACACTGACTGCAGCACTGCATTCCACACCCCTGACCACTGCCCTCTGCCTTACAGACTCCTGCACTATATACACTATACTGTACACTACACACTTCTCTCCAAAGTGTTCTTTGTCTCAACAGTTGCTGGTTGCTAAGCAGTTCCTGAAGTTCTTATTTAACCACTTCCTTACCACACTATAGCCAAAAGATGGCTACAGCACAGCTCTGTTGTTCTGGGAGGGCATTCATGGATGAACCATGACCCACACGCACCCCCTGGGGCGTGTATCCGGTGCACTCTATGGCTGCTGTGTCTTTCAGATACAGCTGATCACAAATCGCGGTAAATGTACAATCACTGGGGCCCTCTTCCATGTGATCAGCTATGTCCAATCACAGCTTATCACAATGTAAACACACTTGCCGGTTATTGGTAGTACTTTCCTCATGCGCTGTCACAGCATGAGGACAGGAGAGACTGTAATTGGCAAATGTGACAGGGGACATGTACACAGATAATCAGGGCACTGATTATCAGTGCAGACCCATCACTGCCCATCAGTGCTGTTTATCAGAGCCCATCAGTGCTGCCTGTTAGTGACCATCAGTGCCACCTATCAGTGCTGCCTATTAGTGCCACCTATCAGTGCCTCCTATCAGTGCCCATCAGTGCCCACCATTGCAGCTTCATCAGTGCACATCAGTGAAGGAGAAAAATTACTTATTTGCAAAATTTTATAACAGAATCTACAAAAAAGTTTTGGTCTTTTATCATTTATTTAGCAAAAAAATGAAAAAACCCAGTGGTGATTAAATACCACCAAAAGAAAGCTCTATTTGTGTGAAAAAAAGTATTAAAATGTAATATGGGTACAGTGTTGAATCATCATTTACAGTGTGACAGAAACGAAAGCAGAAAATTGGCCTGATCATGAAGGGGGTGAAAGCGCCTAGTGCATTGAAGTGGTTATGTTGGGCTCAGACAAAGTGTTAGCTCTCTTTCTATTCAGTGTGCGCAAAATCATTTGTAATGGAAGCTTTTTTTTTTTCTTGAATGATTGTGCTGAGGTTTATATGGTTTGTGTCTTTGTGACTTGTACCTGTGGCACAACAATC